TTTCTAGCCGAGGTAGAATAAACCCACCGAATTCTGTGAATATTTTTCCAGCTGAAAATGCATTAAAAATAATAACATAATTCAACGAAATACAGTGCGTCGAAACGATTTCCTCTGTTGCTTTTGTTTGGATTTCAACTACAACAATAGTCAGGTCACTCTTTTCGTTTTTAATTAAATCCAAACGACAGGTAATTTAATCACAATTAGTATATACCTTACCTATACACGAAAAACGATTAAACAATTAAATTGAAAGTTGATCCGGTTAAGCGGCGTTGCGTTGCGGTTATGTCATTTTCATTTATGATCTCGCGAACAATCTKATAATAATATTATAGATAATATATTAATATATTATGCATTTAAGACTTGCATATTTTCATGAATTTTGGAAAACAAAAACAATGAATTTTCTGGACGTGCAGACACCAAAAAAAAATCTGTATGAGAGCGAACGAATTCAAATCGATCTCGTACTAAATATTTGAAAGAAAAAAAAAGTCGGTGAAAAGTCGATTGCATTATGGAGGCCTGAGCCGTAGCCCGTAAGCCGTCGTTTGGCGGCCCCGTTAATTTTTTTCGTGTGGTAATCAAGGCTGAACATTTTTTAAAAACAGTTGTAAACAAATTGGGTCCTAAACTCCTAAATTATGGCACGGACGCGCAGTAAAAAACATGAAAACACTGCAATTTCTCTCAAGAGTGGGGATGGTGGAGACGGCATTTATTAAGTTTTATAATTCCAAATGGGTGGGACCGCTGGGTGATGTACCTACGTCATTATGKTTACCTATATATTATAAACGTCACAACATAATATTACGATACACCTACAACGTGTGTGTTGTCAAATGCATCAGTTTTAATCACCGTCTGCAGACATACAATTTTTATCGCTGGTGATCCATCGTAACTTTGACGTGAGAGTCGGGTTGAACGTGAGAGTCGGGTTGAACGTGAACGGCTACCATCTATATTCTGCAGCCCCTCACCTCCGATATCCGTAGTCGTTCTTTGGGCCACGTCTGTGCGTGAACGTGGTGGATATTAAACGGTTTTACGTGATTATTAAGTATTGCAGTGGACAGGCCGTGCCTAGGGCCTAGCACACTTTTCCCTTTCATTAAAGCCACTTTCGTATAGGTACGTCCTTTGGTATATTCATTGGGCATCATCGCTTTCTCCTATTCCACAGTATTGTAAACATAATAAAAATCTAACAGAGTTATAGGTGCCTATATACTGTCGTAAAATAACGATATTTAAAGAATGCAAATGATAGGTAATAATTTAATACTATATAGTAGTCAATGTAGGGTTGAAACTAGAACCATACGGATAATTAGAATAGTTTTGTTAAGTGAAAAATACTTGAATTKTATTGTTTAAATATGTTTTGTAGTTCATATTTTTTTTCTACTCATAATTGAATTAAGATCATTATTCATTATCATTTAAATTCTAAACTAAAAATAATGATAAATACCCATAATGGTATTACATATAGTACCTAATATGATATACGATGTTAAAATGTTATTAATATAGAATAGGTGTAAAATAAAATTTTAAAATACCTGTTTAGAAATTTATTCCTTGAAAAGTTAACTATTCTGGATTGACGATACTWTACGGACCACTGAAAAGGATTAAGGATAATGAAATATTTTTGATCATGAAACTTTTTATTAGGTATACCTACTCTTTGATTTCTATCAAACTGGTAGGATAAAATGTACCTACTCATATACCATGTTCAGAAATAATAATTTTCTGGTTGTGTCTCGTCTCCGCAGTCATATTTGTTGAGTACCAGACGGCAGACACGCAATCATCTTGTACTTGCCTATTTTGAAATAAAAAAAAAATTATCACAATCAAATTTATAACCTTTATATAGGTAAATATTACATCATAATATATTTCAATTCTAAACTTTGACGCTCTTCAATGAAATATAACTTTACTGAGTGTACCTACTGTGCAGTCATTAAAGAACTTTCTTATTCGACTGGCGCTTTTCTTTGTCACTGCATCGTAACGTTATCGATTTCTTGGATATTTTATATTATGTTCAACAATTTTCTGTAAACGTACACAATGCGCTTATGACCTACCTACCRACAGGAAATTTTATCAAGGTATTGGAAAAAAAATTAATCTTAGACTATATAAAAAGTATATRTTTATACTTTTATAGAATGATTCATTTATCATCATCCGACAACGCCTTAGAAGATAGGTATAGGTAAAAGAGATTTTTTTAACAATCACTGAGTACTGATTAGATAGGTACCTACTTGTCAAAAAACAATGAAAAATAGTACGTTCTTAAAGGTAGGTAAGAAAAATTGAAAAAACAAGACTTATGTGGTACCTATACCTATTACCTGAGAATTGTTATTATAAATAAAAAAAATACTATGTAAATTATATGAATAAAAACTATGGTAAAAACTTATTTTTTATAATTCTAAGTACTTAGCTAAGAGAAATGGTAAGAAAACAATTTACAATATACCTACTTACATTATAAATATTTAATTTCGGATGAGGGATGACGCAAAAAGAAAACAAAAAAAAAACCTTAATATTAACAATGGTAAAATAGTATTGCACGATTCTAACATTTATTTTAATTTATGTTTGAATAAAATTTATTTTTATTTGAAGTTGTCTATAGAATATAATACATTTTCTTATTTTCATTTATACTTTAGTATTATAATAATAATATTTTTAAAATAATTGAAATTTATTTTTTCAATTAACTATACAATATACCTAAATGTATTTTAATTAAATGTTTAATTGAATTCAAATTTAACAGTTAATAGGAAATGTTACCTACAAAATATTTCAAATATAAAAAAAGTATTAGAAACGAAAGTATACTCTCAAGGAACTCACTGGTTTGAAGAAAGATGGGTGTATTTTGTAACAAAAAAAATTGTTGATACTATTAGAAATTGCAAAAGTAAAAAAAAAAAATCTATTTTAAACTAAAATCAATTCAATTGATATTTTATACTTAAATTCAAACAAAAACTAAATAAAATAATGTTTTATACTTCTTTTAATATAAATAAACCATTCATAAACGAAATATTCAAATATAGTTCTTCTGATCGAATTGCAACCACTGGACGATACAAGTAGTAATTAGGAAACTAAAACAACTAACACTTACCTAAGTAATAATTATAGTTTATAAATCTAGCTTAATGATTTGGTACTTATTATAATTTAGGTAACTTTAACGCAATTATTTAATAAATTTATTTCTTTAACTTTTCATAAAAATGTATTAACAGGCTTAAAAATGATACATTTTACTTACCTGTGTGAATATTATACACAACGGTCTAAATAACTTATTTGCTTTAAAAACACTTTAAGGGTTAAGAACAAATTTGAGTTATTGAGACTCATCAACTGTATTTTATAACTTTATAAATAACTTCAACAATTTTTGGCAACTACCGAAGGTAATAGGTATTGTTATAAATTATATTGTACTTATATGACATTGTATTAGAACAAATGTAAAAGAGGAAGGTAAACAACAAAATAATATTTTAAGACTAAATGAGGATTATGATTTTTTTTAGGTTTTTCTATTATAGAGATAAGTATCTCTAAAATTATCAAATTATGAACAATACCAAGTTGAAAGCTYGATCAATGGATGTAATACTAATTTTTAGCCATAAGAATTTGAATCATGCCAACCACGCTATAATGWTTGTACAATAAATTGTTATAATTTTGGTGGTTTTGAATCACAGCAAAAATAAAATCACAGAAAAGATATAATCAAAATATTAAATTTAAAAACAAATATGCAACGCTATCTAGTGACAAAAATACAAAACAACATTGTAAATTAAATATTATGGTTGCCGAGATCACAGAATATTATATAAAATATTTCACATAGGTATTCTGTGCCGAGATTCCTTTCCATATGCATTTATTAGCTTTTTGTATTTCTATCAATAAAGTTAATTATTAAGTAATAAGCAATAACCAATAAGTATTGAATATTAAATTTAGCAACTATAATTGTAGTGTAGCCATATTTTATTATAAATAAAATATATTTTTTTTTATCACATTTATTTTAATTTGTACAATCTGTATAAAATAATAATTTTACAATACGGGGCACAAACATAATGGAGTGATGCATAAAAAGTTTTTGTTGACTTGGTTGAAGAAATAATTCAATAATAGTACTCCATGGCGTGGGTAGTAATGGTTAGTCGACTAATAAGTAAAGGCAGGCCCATCGTAAGACATTTTCCGCCCTAAAGGGAATAAAAATAATAATTAAATTTCTGTCTTATTTGGAAATTTACTATTACAATTTGCCGCCTCAATTTTTTTAAATGTTATGCCGCCCTAAAGCAACGCATGGCTTGCTTGTACCCTAGCGACGGGCCTGAGTAAAGGTACCAGCTACGCTTTAGACATTAGAAAGGGTCACCTGGCATCGAAAGGGAAGAGGGTTTTGGTGACTTTCTAGATCAAGGTGGGAGCGTTTGTATGGTTTCTGATCAATTGATAAATAAAAAGAACCTTCAAAAAGGTGTAAAAAAGTGAATAATATATTAATATTTATAATTAATTTGAAATTTCTTAATTAGTTTTTATATTTTTTAGTACCTTACAGTTGACTGTTAATCGTTTTAAATTATTTTGATAGACTCGACAATTAAAGAGTTATCAGTAAAAGTTTATAGACTATAAATAGTCATAAGTACACCAACATTTAGATACTATTTTAAAAGACTTAGTTATCTAACTTAGTAAGTAAATGTTATGAAAAATAAATGTAATTTATTAGGTATGTTGTTTAATGCAAAATACCTCATATAGCAACACAAACACAAATTTATAAAAATATTTAGATTTTAAGTGGATATCACAATTAAAAGACATACAAGTTTCTGACCAATAAACAGATTTACATCAGAGGACAAAAAACACAATCATATAAGAAAATTGTATATTAAAAAAATTGTTTAGGTACCTAACTTACAAGTTATCTTACAACTTAATAACATATTTAATTGATATCGATGTTAGGTATAGGTAGATACTGATTTTGGRCAGCTTATAATTTTGAATTAAATTAATAAATTAATTCAAATATCTTTTTTAGAGCATTTAAACAATGAATTAAAAAAAATTAATAATAACAGTCACATAAAAACCGAGCAGACTTTGTAACAAAATATTTCAAATGTCTTAAATAACATTAAGATTAGGAGACAATTTTTGACTTGAACGTATACGCAAAATATAAAACTACCATGCTGACAATTGCAGCCAGGAATTCAGAGTTGACCCAAACACCTTTGTAAGCACCGGGGTAACGGACATACGCAGAGTGCACAGGCGTTACACTGCTGGTGGATTCCCCATCGCGCAACAGTTTCCTAAGTTGTCCGTAACCAGCCTCGTCGTAAAATTTCACATAGTAATCGCCCCGGCGAGCCTTCTTGAAGTCGTCCAACCAACTGACCTGTGGAAACGTCGAGCGTAATATTAAAACACTGTTTGCAGACGACACCGGAGCGTCGTCGTGAATGGGCTACGTACTTGGTATTTGTTTGGACCAGCGTTGGCCGCAACCAGAAGTCKTCCTTCCACCTCGGCGTACAGGTTGGACGGCGAATCCTCGCACTCGGCGCTCACTTGTGCAATGAAAGCGGCCTCGGTGACGATCATGGCATCGCTGGTGGTGTACGAGTCTACGGCATACTTACAACCGGCGGCGGACGAAGCCACTGCGCACAGCGACAGCGCGACGAGAATGCAGTGGGTGGATTTCATCGTGGAATTTGGAAAAACTCGGGAAAACGGGGTAACGGACGTTTGAGAACAACGTACTCAGTCGAGACCGGATTTCTGAAGTAAAGTTCGAATGATATAAAAGTGCCAACTGTTACGATCGCGTTTCGCGGCGCTTGTGATAACCGGCCGTGTCGATAACGCGTGTACGGAGTGTCATCGTTTTTAGGTGTGACCAACGTGACGGGTGTAAGTGAGTGAACACTGTACAGTTGCTGCTGGTAAAAAAATACGTTGTGGCTAGGGACCAAGACGTATCAGCTGTCTTCACTTCTTCAGGTACTATATAGTATATTATGATGCAGCGATCTTAATATATTTTGTTCAAATTTGTRAAATTAAATATTATTAATCTTATACATAATATACTTAATTTATTTTGTTATTATTATACATTTATACATATAATATATATATATTATAAATAAAATATCTGGATTGTATAATCGTCCATGTTGCCGTGCATTTTTCAAAGTTTCCATAATATAGTCGCTGTAGATACCTACATTGTCACTAAATCATGATATTCGGGACTGAATACCCAAATAATATTGTGAATGTCAGAATGTCAATTGTGTATGATGCTATGACGTATATGTTTATAAGTTTAAATTTATTATTGTTGGTTAATGAACATTTAGATTA